TGGTGGATGCGCTCTCCGGGTGCAGAAGGGGCTGGGGGCGGGGGGGTTTGCTCTCCCGTGGGAGTGGGGCTCGGGTGGGTCGTGCCCATCCTGTGGACGCCTGCCGCGACTGGTGACTGTTTGTCCTCCCACTTCTTTTTGCTCAGCGCCAGGTTGTGCCCTGTGGTAATTTGCTTCCAGGTTCATGGGCAGAATCGTTCCTTGAGGTCGTTGCACTGAAGTGCATGTTTTCCTGGTGACTGTCCTTGTCTTTTGGAGGCCCCAATCCTTGCCCATGACGCGCGTGTCTCAGTCAGCAACAACTCATGTAATTACTTAGAGTCCAGTAGGATAACCCAGGCCCCTAACCTTAATTCCCGCTGCAAAGTCTGCTTCACCATGTAATGTAGCATATGCACAGGTTCCAGGAATTCAGGTGTGGAAATGGGTGGGGAAGGGCATTCTGTCTACCACCGATTGGGTCTATGTCCTCCTGCACAAGAGCCTACATATACTGGGATGAGAAAAACAAGATCTGAAATGACCATAGTTTGTTACACTTTATAATGAAAAGACAAAGGGAAAATAGACATACCTGCTTGTGTAGCTTAGAATAATCTGGAAGGGCACATTAGAAACTGGGGAGGGGAACTGAGTGGCTGGTTGGGAGATACTTCACCATAAGTCCTTTTTTACCTTTTGAATTTTGAACCATATGACTGTGCCCCTGTTTGGTGACAGTAATAATGATTTCAAGAATTTTAAAATAAAATGAACTAAGTATTGCAAATCACTCAGTCTCCCCCTAGGAGAGGGAGCGTGAAGCCCACTCCACCATGGAAGCAGCATCTGTTCTGTTCTGCTGCCACATGGATGGGCACCTTAAGTTAGTGCTCTCCCTGCTTTGAGTTTCGTCTGTACCATCCCACTTATCACCTGTACCCCACTAATCTTGACCTGGTTCATTAGTTCTGTCTTTTTCGTAACATAGAAATGGAACCAGTGCCTCACCTTCATAAGACAGCCAAGGCTTCTTATAGTCTGTCTTCCCATGACACTGCCTCTGAGCTCTCTCCACACTTCTCACCCATGCCTTCTTCTACCTTTCTAAACACTTGTGGCCTAAACCCCTCTCTGGGCCTGGTTTAAATACCCCCCAGGGCTCCACCCCACCCCTGCTGCCTCTGCCCAAAACACTTGCCCATCTCACTGATGTATTTGATATGATTTGTCTCCCCACTGAAGTCCCTGAGTGTCAGTCTCTGCTGTATCTGTACATCCCCAGAACAGACCCTGGCATATGGTTGGTGTTTGGGAAACACTGAAACCATGTTCAAGAGGAAAAACCCACCCTGGCCAGGTAGCTCAATTGGTTAGAGCATCTTCCCAATATACCAAGGTTGTGGGTTCAATCTCCGGTCAAGGCACATACAAGAGTCCGCCAATGAATACATAAATAAGCGGAACAACAGATCAGTGTTTCCCTCTCCTTTCTCTCAAGTAAAATTTAAAAAATAATTCAGCCCAGCCAGCATGGCTCAGCGGTTGAGCTATGATCCAGGAGGTCACAGTTCGATTCCCCGTCAGGGCACGTGTCCAGGTTGTGGGCTTGAGTCCCCAGTAGGAGGTGTGCAGGAGGCAGTGAATCAGTGACTCTCACCATTGATGTTTCTATCTTTCCCTCTCCCTTCCTATCTCTGAAGTCAATAAAAACAAAAAAAGAATTCAGTTCATAGGTTGAGGCAATGTCCAAAATGGGCTTCTGCCAACGTTTCCTACCTCATCTTCACCCCTGAAAGGCCAAGGGGGTCAATGTACCTATCAATGGTACAGTGTGAAAAATGGGCTAAGGGGTGTCGTCCAACTCCTGGGTAAGCCACTGGGCATGGATCTGCACAGAGATGGGGCAGTGAAGGGTTGGGGGTAATCAGTAACTTGGTGATGTGGGGGTTCCCACCATGTGTCCCAGTGGGAATGTTTTGTGTCCCTGCTCAGAGGGAGCAGTTGGGGCTGGAGATGAGCCCAGTTTGGGAATCTACAGGGATAAGGGTTGCTAATGCCTCAGGACTGGACAGATTAACCAAGGAAGTTGGTGTTGGTACAGAAGTGAACTCTGGAGCACCAACATGCAGAGGGAGATGAAGAACCTTGGAGGGAGCTGCTGTGCAGTGGGAGAGTAGCCCAGGAGGGTGGGGACAAGGATATCTACTGTGGGTGCTGCCAGGAGGGTGCAGCTCAGACAGAACTGACCACGTACCTGTCTGCAGCACAGGCTGCCCCTGGCTACCCCAACTCTGGGGCTGCTGGTCACCCTGTGAGTGGGTCAGGTGGTCCACGTTCAGGACATTGTCAGGAATGAAAGGTGGGCCCACAGTGAGTGAAGGCTCTGCAGGCTGCTCTCTGTCATGGCAGTCCTGGGCTCTTTCGCAGCGTGTCCACAGGGCACAGGGCATCTAGCCCTCCGGTCATTGTCTCATCCTTTCCCACCTGTGGCTCTGGCTTGTGAGTCTGTGTCCCTGTGGCTGGCTGACCCTCGGGTCCAGGATCAGGAAATGTTGTGGTGGTCCCTGAGACTCAGCCCCAGGTTCTCTTCAGGCCTCGGGGCTGCAGGGGTGGAGGATGGGCTCCTGGGGATAGCCCTTCTACATATTCACCAGTGTTCTTTCTAGTTTCCAGGTTCCAGTCATGCCCAGCTTCAGAGCTCGTCCTGAAGAGGCAGAAATGGAGCCCTCAGTTCCTGGACCATCCCCTTGGACTCCTTCAACCCAGGCCTGTGTGAGTGATGCTCCCACCGTGACTCACCCTGTACCTGCATTCCATGGTCCACTCTGCTACAGTGACACTGAGCTGGGAACTACTCCCCCTCACCAGCAGCAGCCAGGTACTGGAACTGAATACCTCACTGTTGCCCTCATTCTGGGGGGACTTTGTGTCACCCTGCAATCCCCATTAGCTCGTGTTATCATTAGGGATGGGGTCCTCATGGACTTAAGGGGCCAAGGCTGGAGGTCAGAGAGGAAGATGGCCAGGCCCCTGGTGCCCTGGTGCTCTGAGTGTGCCACTTTGGTTTCCCCGCTGACACAGAGGGTGCAGTGTGGTGGTTGCCAGCTGAGCCCTGCCCAACCATCAGGTGGTGGTGGTCCCCTTCCCTCAGAACCTTGCCCTAATCCAGGCCTTCGCCCTACCTCCTCTCCCTTTCTTCACACTGCCCAGCTGCTTCATCCCGTTCAGAACCCAACCTAACCCCTCACTAACTTGGCTCTTCTTTGTACCTGCTAGCGATCAGGATGGTTGCTTGGTGTTAGCGTTCCTTACCGTGATCTGATGAGAGCTGTTGTACAAGAGGACACTCTTGTGTCCCACATGGGACCTATTATTATACTCGGTACATCTGGGGAGAGTACCCTTGTCAGAATATGTGTGACCAGGGAAGGCTGAGCTAAGATCAGAGATGATGTGTGTCAGACGGGAGAGGTGGAGCCCAGCAGTATGTGGACATTCGCTAGACACCCTCGGGCTTCCAACCTGGGGGGCTTCCAACAGCATAGTGTGTCTAGACTATGGGTCAGGTGATATGTGGGTGTGGTGGGCAGACAAGTTGAGCATGTGGCCAGGCCAGGTCTGCATTGAGGAGAACAGAAGCATCCAGTTGAGGCAGGGAGACAGTGCTATTGTGGTGACAGAGTCTTAAAGTTCCAGGTGGTATTGATCCGAACTGAGGGGAAGGTTGGAGGGCAATGGGCCCAAGGATGCTGGGAAGTAGAAGAGGAGTGTCCTTTATCCACTCAGCACCACTGACTATGGCCAGACAAAGGGTTGCCCTAAACCCAGGACATGAGCCCCATTGGGGCACAGTCTGGGCTATGCAGGAGAGACCAAGGAGGAGCAGTGGTCAGATAAGGCCTTTCCAGTGAGGTATGTGAGCACCATCTGGGGAGTATGTTCCATGCAAGGCAGACCCTAAGGGGAACATATCTACCCTGCTCAGAAAACAGCAAGAGCAGAGTTGAGGGTGAGCTCGGGGAAGGACTGGGAGGATGAAGTGCTCTGATGTCACTGGGCTGCCTGTGGGCAGGAGGGAAAGGTGGGAGGCCAGGGACTTGACTCAATGTCCAGGCAGGAGAAGATGGCAGCAGTATCGCCTAGGTGTCACAATTTAAACTAGACAGAGAGTCAATATCTTCATTCAAGTGAGAGATTCAGGAGAGTGAAGGTTTCCTTGTTTCTTCAGGCATAAAGAGACAGGAGGGAGGTGCCAAGACCCTTCAGGTGTGACACAGAATCTTCAGAAAGATAGATGCAGCCACCTAAACACTGTACCAGGGCAAGAAATTGTTTAACTGACATGCCAGATTTGCAGGTTTTAAAAGGTAAAGGTGGCTTTGGTCTCTGAAGGCTCCTGTGTTGAACAGGATAGAATCTGACATTGCACCAGAGTCCCTGCCACATAGTTGGAACCAGCTTTGCTTCTGCTCTGGGCCTAGCTCCCCCCATAGCAACTCCCACAGCGAAGCCTGGAAGCCACTAGTTAGCACTGAGCAAACAACAGGTGGGCCCAAGGAGCTGACAACATGCATCATGGAAAAGAAAGACAAATAGAATGCTTACAGTGTCACTCAGGGCATATAATGCTTTCCTTGTGCAGGTAGGAGGGGTGAGTGCCTGGGTTTGGGACACGCGCCAAGATATGGTCAGCAGGACTTGCTGATGACCTGCTATGGGTGAGAAGGGCAATCAAGGGGCACATGGGACTTTGGTCTGAAGCAATAGGTAGACTGTAGGTGATTTCCTGAGATGTGGGTACTGGGGCAGTGGGCTGAGGGCTGGTCTTCATTTGCCATACTGCCTTGTCCCCTTGGAGCTTCCTTGCCCTTCCCTCATCCCCTTGATAGATCTGGGACTACCACCCCCAATAGTACCAGACTTGTTGTCTGGTATTTTCCTACTTCCTTCCAAGTGACTTTATGTTTGTCGTTTCAGATTGGGACACCAGGATTGAGGGCAAAGGGTTTCTTCAGAAGAAAGATGTTTCTGAGGATTTAGTATCACAGGCAGAAATATCAGAAAACTGTACCAGTGATGTTCCTGTGGTGTCTGAGCTTGGAGAACTCTGTGAGGACGTATTAGAAAGAGACTGGGGAGTCCCTGACAACATGAGACAGGTGCAATCCCTCGGCCAAGAGAAGGAGCTCACACCAGTGGCAGTATTCCTTAACAGCCCCTTAGGGGAGAGAGAGATGGACTGTGATGATTTTGAGAGAAGCTTTAGTCTGAGCCCAAACCCAGTGGCATATCAAGGAATTTCTGTGGAAGAGAGGCCACATCTGCACATGTGTGGCCAAAGCTTCCAACGCAGTGTGGACCTAACTAGCCACGAGGGGCTCCACACATCTGAAAGCACCTTCATATGTAATGAGTGTGGGAAAACCTTCAGAGGAAACCCTGATCTTATTCAGCGTCAGATCATCCACGATGGGCAGAAGTCCTTCATAGGTCATGAACGTGGAAAAGCCTTCAGCCAGAATTCAGTTCTTAAAAATCATCGGAGGTTGCATGTGAGTGAGCCCTATCAGTGCAGCGAATGTGGGAAAGCCTTCTATGTGCATTCAAACCTCACTAGGCATCAGGTCACCCATGGTGGAGAGAAGCCTTACATTTGCAATGACTGTGGAAAAGCCTTTAGCCAGAATTCCAGCCTTAAGAAGCACCAGAAGTCTCACATGAGCGAGAAGCCCTATGAGTGCAGTGAGTGTGGAAAGGCTTTTAAGCGGAGCTCAAACCTTACCCAACATCAGAGAATTCATTCTAGCGAGAAGCCGTATGTGTGTAACAACTGTGGGAAGGCCTTTAGGCGGAGCACCAACCTCATCAAACACAACAGGATTCACACAGGTGAGAAGCCTTTTGAGTGTAAAGAGTGTGGGAAAGCATTCAGCCAGAGCTCACACCTGAGGAAGCACCAGAGGGTTCACACTGGAGAGAGACCTTATGAGTGTAATGAGTGTGGCAAACCATTCAGCCGGGTCTCAAACCTCATTAAGCATCACCGGGTTCACACAGGAGAGAAGCCCTATAAATGTAGTGACTGCGGGAAGGCCTTCAGTCAAAGTTCAAGTCTCATTCAACATCGGAGGATTCACACTGGAGAGAAGCCTCATGTTTGTAATGTGTGTGGAAAAGCCTTTAGTTACAGTTCAGTGCTCAGAAAGCATCAGATAATCCACACGGGAGAGAAGCCCTATGAATGTGGTGTCTGCAAGAAGGCCTTTAGCCACAGCTCAGCCCTCATTCAGCACCAGGGTGTGCACACAGGCGATAAGCCCTATGAATGTCAGGAATGTGGGAAGATGTTTGGCCGTAGCTCGAACCTCATCCTTCACCAGCGAGTTCACACTGGAGAGAAACCCTATGAATGTACCGAATGTGGAAAAACATTCAGCCAGAGCTCAACTCTCATTCAGCATCAGAGAATCCATAATGGACTGAAACCCCATGAGTGTAACCAGTGTGGTAAAGCCTTCAACCGAAGCTCAAACCTCATCCACCACCAGAAAGTTCACACTGGAGAGAAGCCATACACATGCATGGAATGCGGTAAGGGCTTCAGCCAGAGCTCACACCTCATTCAACATCAGATCATCCACACTGGCGAGAGGCCCTACAAGTGCACCGAGTGTGAGAAATCCTTCAGCCAGCGCTCGGTCCTTATCCAGCACCAGAGGATTCACACTGGAGTGAAGCCCTATGACTGCACTGTGTGTGGGAAGGCCTTCAGCCAGCGCTCAAAGCTGCTCAAGCACCAGCTGACCCACACCAGGGGATGAATCCAACCCCCCAATTCGCAGCCAAGCTCACTTGCTGCCCTCCACCCACAACTTCTGTTCACAAAGCCTGGGACCCTCCTTTGGGGTGTTTGTTTTTCACAGGCTCTCTCCTCCCTCCTGCCATTCCACCCACCACACATGACCTTGTTTCTTTTTTGTTTTGTTTTTACATTTTGTTATAAGACTGCCATGTTTGTTAGGATGGCAAAGATGATAGAGGCTGCATATTTATGAAGAGTTTATTACTGTAATCAACCAAAAAAGTAAAATGACATTCGCTTTGAGGTAACCACACTAATTCTTTTGTTTGGTAACTAGTCACAGGGAGGGAGTCCTTTGTCAGTGGTTGTAACCCATATTCTGTTTACATGAAATCAGGTCAAGTTTTCGCCTTCTTGCCCACTCCATACCTAAACACAAGACTTGCTCGCTCCCCCCTTTCCTTTGTGCCATCTAGTCTGGCACCGTGCTTTCTCCTCATGGCTCTGGTCCCTGCTCAGGGCTGTTGCACAATGACACACGCGGCTGTTTCCCAGCCTCCAGTTCTGTGCCTTACAAACCTGGCTGTCGGCCCCACAAAGGACAGCTCTCTCTTTTCCCCTTCTGTTCTCCCTACAAGCTCCTAGGCTTAGGTTTTTCCCCCCAGGTCCATTCATCACCAGACATCATGAAGCTCCTGCTGGGTGCCCCTAGAAGGTAGGGAATAGTCTTCAGTTTCCCAGAGCTGTGTCCACACTCCCTGAGCAGGGGGAGGTTGGCCCACAGGCAACACATCTGCCACCAGGAGGCCCCTGGTCACCAGATGGCAGGTCTAACTGGGGGATGTCATAGGGTGAAAGGGTGGGCAGGCCCCTCCTGCATTGTTCTGGGAGGAGAGAAGGAAATGGACAGGTGTAGTCGGGTTTGTAAGTATGGTGGGAAGTTAAGGGTTTGGCTTCTGTGTTTTCAATGAGGAGAGAGGTAGTAGGTCTGAAGTGAGAAGAAAGTGTTGAAGAGTTAGCTTGCAAAGGTCAGTCCCATGGGCTTGGGCCAGAATGGGCTGCCTGCCCTCACCTCAGAGACAATCACAAGTAGCCCACAGAGGCCTATTCAGGAACCCCCAAATGGGGTTCCTGAGGTAGCACTCTAGACAAGAAAATGCCACACCTGTGGTTTTGATGACACCCTGACCTATTATCCTCTAACACACTTGGTCTTTCTGCCTCCCAGATACCTAAAATGTGCTGACCCTCTTGCTCCCTCTCTGGCTTCACATTTCTCCTTGTCCAGCCTGGATTCGATCGTTGCTTTTTTCAGTACTTGTTGACCCACATTGGGGTACAGCAGGAAATAACAGACTGAAATGCCTATGCTCCAGGAGTTTATGTCTAGTGGGGGGAAGAAATGACACAGTGGTTCTGACAGCTACGAAGCAGGGAATGGGGTCTGGGTATTTTAAGGGGTTCAGTTTTAAGTGGGGGAAGTCAGAGAAGGCCTCACTGAGATGTCCTTTGAGCAAGGTCTTGAAGCAAGTGGGGGACAGCAAGAATAGCCAGTGCAAGGGCCCTGAGCATGAGTGGCCCAGACCTTGCAGTGGTCATCAGAGATGTAGGTCAGTGTGGCTGGAGTGGAGTGAGCAAAGGGGGAGCAGGTGAGGTGAGTAATGGGGAGCCACACCGGGAAGGGTGTTGTGGCCACAAGGGTTTGATCTAACTTACATTTTAACAAGATATCTGCTGTGTGGAGGAAAGACTGTGGGGCAAGTGTGTGCTCCTCTCTATGGCACTCCCCTGTCAACTCCCTTTGGCCCTTGCCCTAGCCTCTACACTGTTGGGAGACCCCTGGGGCCAAGGCACAAGCGGGGCAAGGGTGGGGGGGGAGTGACACACATGCTGGGCACAGCAGCTGCGGGAGGTCAAATGTGTGGTCCACAGAATGGAATGCCTATCAGACTCCTCTGGTCCGGGACCCTGCCTAGCGCCAGGAGAACTGACCCTATTCAGAGCCACACCATCTGTATGCAGCCTGAGTGACTTTAAGTTCAGGATGTTTTCTTTCCAGAGAAGTATGGTCTAGAAGAGCGTAGTTCTGTCAAGCACAGCCTGTTCCTTTTGACTTTCACGATATCCTTGGAAATGTGTTTCTCAGGAACAACTCCCTGAGTCCATGTGACAGAAAGCCTGGTAAGTCCCTGTCACTGACATAAGGCCGGGTGGCCAGATCCCGCCCGCACTGCAGGGGCCACTCCAAGGCAATAGGGAGGCCCTTTTGCTCTTTTATAATTTTGGTGGATTAACTATTTTTATCAAAAGACCCTTAACTATTTACATTACTACTTTATATGGCAGGAACACACAGAAAGAGATACTAGGGAGAGGAGAAGGGGCAAAGTGTGAAGAGGAGACAGGGAGAATGGCCATCCCCTTGCCTGGCTGGGACTGGGTCTGAACACTGGTCTCTAGATCTCTTTTTTTTTTTCAATCCTCACTGGAGAATATATATTTTTTCCATTGAATTTCAGAGACAGTAGCAGGGAGGGAGGGAGAGAGGAAAGGAGGGAGGAAGAGAGAAACATCATTATGAGAGACACACCAATTGGCTGCCTCCCGCACACTGCCCTACTAGGGCAGGGATGGAGCCTGCAACCGAGGTACGTGTCCTTGGCAGGAATTGAACCTGGAACCCTTCAGTCTATGGGCTGACACACTAATCACTGAGCCAAAGTAGCCAGGGCTCTAGATCTCTTAGAATGCCCATCCTGTGGTTGTACAAGGGACCCCTGACCCACCTACCTGGGTACTGCTCCTGTTTCAGGATGGTATTCTTTTTCTTTTTTTAAAATATATCTTTATTTATTTCAGAGAGAAGAAAGGAGAGGGAGAGAGAGAGATAGAAACATCAATGATGAGAGAGTCATTGATCAGCTGCAGCGCGCAACCCGGGCATGTGCCCTGACCGGGAATCGAACCTTGATCTCCTGGATCCTAGGTGGATGCTCAACCGCTGAGCCACACCCGGCCGGGCAAGAATGGTATTCTTGAGAGGGGTTGAAAATGCTGCTCTCCTGCCCTAACCAGGACACCAGGAGAAAGTGCCAGTTGTGCTGGCCCAAGGGTCAGCACAACTGGCCAAACTTCAGGCAGTCATCTTAGCGCGCCATGGCCTAGCAAACAAGTGGCCCACCTGCATATTTTTACAAACTTGTGTCATCACCTGAGTTTCCCCCCTTGGGGTAAAGGACGCAGAATCTCTTGTGTCACAGATGCCTGAAAATATCAATCAAGGTCACAGATGTTTCTACCTGTACTCAGGCCACAATTGCAAGACCTCACCAGGACACCCTCATTCCCCCGCCCAAAACTCCAGACTTCACTGACAGGTGCCCCCTGTCATTTCTCAGAACACAGGATGCTGGAAGGCACCTCCCTCACCAGCTGCAGTCTGGACAGTGCCGACAGCTTATTTAACCAAGCTCTAATACAATTAAGTGACACCTGGCGTGTTTCAGTCAACAAACATCAGGGTGAACTGAGCAGTCTGGCTCCACTTTCTTATGTTTGCTGACAGCCTTGGAACTTCACCCTCCCTCTCTGTGCCCACAGCTGCACAAGTTGATAAGAGGGTGCTCCCTCCTTGATGCCAACAGGAGATCCAAACCATACAAGCCCTCACCTATGCTTGGGAACCTTCCTGCTGGCCCTACCCACTGACCACAATAAAGACCCCAGCCTATGCCTTTTCCTTGCCCTCTCAAGCCATTTTGGACCTGTGTGAGGGCCTTCCCTGCTTTCCCCAGAGACTTCCATTATGTAAGTAATAAACCTCATTCCTTCAAAAAAAGTAGAAGTCCTCCTTGGACCCCACACCTTCTACTCTGCTCTTTGGTTGTAGACATAGGCAAATTCCTTTGTGTTGTGACTTCTCTGAAAGTTCCCTTCAGCTTCTTGTTCTGACTAACACCTGGCTGCCTCCTGATCATAGTCCCCCTGAAGCGTCCCCTTCCCCCTGTACCACTGGGAATGTAGGGTGTTCCCCTTGCTCCTTGTTTCCACTTCTAGACATGATTCCTACCTCCAACCAACAACCCTAATTCCTTTGAGAAAACTAAAAAACAGCCCTAACAGCTAGCAGCTGGCCTGGTCCCTACTGTCAGATTCTTCATGTTCTTGGTCGAGTCCTGGGAGATCCCCCTCATAGATGCCCACAGTTCATGCCCCACAAACGGGGCAACTTGTGGGGTCAGATTGATGTGGGGAAACAGTCTCCAACCAAAATCTACAGTCTCCCTCCACAAAAGGCAAAGCATGGAAACTCTGGAGTTCAGGGTGTGCAGAGCAGGGCCAGGATCCACAGCAATCTTAAAGTCTTTGTGGATCTGGAGGGAACTCCAGGGTCTGCAGGGGGAACCCCTAGAGTCCTGATGGGCGAGGACAGTGTAGGGCACACCAGGCAGCTATGACAGCAGCAGACTCTCAGCTGGGCCTCTCACCTAAGGCAGGTAAGAGCCAGACCATCAACTGGCCCCTCAGCATCGGTGGTGGTGGTGGGGGGGGG